AGCATTTTTTTGGGAGGGGGGGCGGAAATATGTTATTCCGGGGCGCAAATTGTCCAAATACGGCCCTGATTCTCTGTTATGAATTTATTAAATTTGAATTTAATGATGAATCTTTCTATACAAAAAAACGATTGAACGGTACGATTTTTGGCACGATAGTATAAAACTTTAACAATCACAGACAAGTGGCTGAAACTTTTTTCACCAGTTAGTTCCGTATCAATCATAAATAAATGAATAAATGATAGACAATTATAGATACCAAAACAATATTATAAGACAAAACTCAAAAAGATTAATCTGTTGTCTATTCATTTTAATAGGTACAAACAAATATGTATGTACCTAATTCTAAAAGTTTTGAGAGCATGATTATAAGATAATATTTTAACCATTAGGTACCTATATACAGGGTGTCCCGTGAGGATTTTCTCATTGCGATATCTCCTGAAATAATGGAGATATCGTAATTATGTTTTATTATTAAGACTCGCAGAGGTAAGCACTACAAATATTTTATTTTTTAATTAAATTAAATTTTTTAGTAAAAAAGTTAAAAAAATTATTTTTTATTTTTTTATTTTGAAAAAATTGAAGATAGCCATTCTATAGAGTATATTTTTGTGAAAATTTTGAGCTTTTAACATTTTATTTTCATTAATCTCATGATTTTTAATAATTTTTTTAGTTTATTAGTAAAACGTCAATAAACTGGTTTTTGTCCGGGCGGCGAGTCCCCCTCTACGGCTAATGAGTAAATCCTCACGGGACACCCTGTATAGTTAAATTTACTTAGCATTTACTATAACAGTTAGAGATAACACAACCGATGTGACAAAACAAATGATGTACTAAACGGTTTCTATTTGAACTGTAAATTTTATGTTGTGTTTGCATATTATTGTACACCTATTATAATTGTACTAATGGAAAGAGCATTCGGTCACACACTATTATTAGTAGGTATATAGATAAGACGTGTTTATCAGTTTTTTTTCTATAATATATGTATAAAGTTGTACTTGTACATCCAAACCACATTATTTATTCAATTGTTATTTGATTTTAAGAAGTCCATAACAGTTTTGGTGACAGCGATGAGCGGTGGGATAAAGGTAGGTAGCTGTTTGGTTTTTCACGTTAATTATAAACAACCTTTACAATGTTTGTGAAATATGTTTAATTATACGCACCTTGTATTTTATTAATATTTTTTTTCCCATCAATATAATATTATATATTTATTTTCCTCTATAAAAATATAGTAAAAACATAAATATATATTAGGTACCTACTATACTCCTCTTCGGAACTTTCACTAAAAAAAGGAACTCGTTCACGTTCAAATTCATATTTTTTTTTAGATTTTGAGTGAAACGATGAATGTATTGATTTTACAATGATGTGTGTTTTTTAATTTTTTTTTTTTTATTTAATTTTTTATTTTTGTGTCTGTCATCACGTTTTAGAACAGTAAAAGTGCTTGGATTTTCTTCAACAGTAGCTTTTCTGATAGGAAAGTGAATCTAGTTGGTACTTTGGGGGAGGGGGGGGTCAAAAGTAAAAATTTATCAGTAGTATTCACAAGCACCGGGAAAAACAACATAAAAATTAAGGAAAAACGGGAATTTTTACGCAAAATCGGTTTTCCAAAAAATCGATTTTTGCTTTTGGTGTAACTCTAAAAGAAATGAACGTATATACTTACGAAATTTTCACTGGTTGTTTATATTTGTATTTTATATACACGATAACATTTTCAAAATATTTTGATTTATTTTGAACTGTTTAGGGACATTTTCATTTTCCATCTTTTTATAGTTTTTTTTCTAAAAATATCAATAAAATTTTATTTGTTGGTTGCAAAAGCTTGAAAATTTAATAGAAGTATATTGTTTGAAAGGCAGATGAAAAATATTAAAAATCCTTAGTCACAATTTTTTTTTATAAGCATTTAAAGTTCAAAAATTGACAAAATATGGAAAAATCACTAAAATTAGCAAATTATTTTGAGTTAAGAATTCGTAAAAATTTTTCTTTTTAATTCTAAGATTTGAAAATGTAATACAAGATTCCTTATAAGATTATCTACCTTTATCAAACAAAAAATGTCTATAAGAAAATCAAATTAAATTTTTATGATCGTTTGAAATTCAAATTTTTACAACATTGGATATTCACTCGATTTCTCATGTGGCGATTTCATTATTTTGTTGTAATTAAAAAACGAATAACTATAGTTACATGAAAATTTCACTGAATGTTTAAATTAGCATTTTCTATACACCATAAAATTTTGAAAATATTTTGACTCTTTTTGAGCTATTTGCGGACATTTACCGCTTTCAATTTTTTTTAGTTTTTTTTTCTATAAATATCAATAAAGTTTTATCTGTCGGGCTAAAAAGTGTAAAAATTGAATACAAGGTTCCTGATATATTGTTACAATATCAGTTGAAAAATATTAAAAATACATAGGCACAGTTTTTTTTTATAAGCATTTAAAGATCGAATTTTGACAAAATTTATCAAAATCTCGAAAGTTATCAATCATTGTAATTAATAAATTATAAAATGTTCAGTTTTTATAGCTAAGGATTGCAAATTTAAAACAAAGGTTCTCATAAATAGTTCATACTTTAACCAAAAAATCTAAAAAATATATGAACACAGTTATTTTTTACAGACATTTTAAATTCAAATTTGGACGAAATTACATATTAAAAAACCTAGAATAACTATTTTAGTTATTTTGTGGTGATTGAATAATGTTATTCGTGGGTACTTGATACTTCTAAAGTACACTATTATATATCTATTATGATAGTATCACGGTTTTTGTTGATGTATAACGCGTTATAAGTACCTAATGGATATTGTGATATGATTAATTTGGAATTTATTATAGGTACCTACCTATTATAATGTCAAATTTTGGTTTAGTACCATCATAGATATGTATATAATACGTCTTATACCTAGACTGACATACCGTCTCCGCTCAGAATCGTTTTTCTTATACAATGATATTATATCGTTGAATTCAAATTTAATATCATCCATTATACAGTGACCCACTTGTAACCTACTGTACAGCAGAGCGACACCCACTTGCCCACTTTTTTTCAAATGAACACGTTCAAGTTCACGTTCTTTGAAAATATGAATGCGTTTATTTCGTCTTTGATGTAATTTATTTTATTTTGTATTTTTATGTATCGTTTAAATATGAATAAAAAATCATGGAAATCATAATATTATTGTTGTTATATGTCCAACCGTGCCCACTGGAATTTCATGTAGGTATTGTATTTTTATAATATTCGTACCTAATATATTATATATCATAATAATATTATCAATCGATATTTATTAAATAATAAATAAATTTTAACGTCTTAAAACCCGTTCAAATTCATTAAATATATAATGTAACGTTCACTAAATATTAAGGTGAACACATGAGCGTTCATGGATGACGTTCTTTCCAAACACTGCTACTCCTGTAATAATTGCTTGTGATGGAGGAAGAGTTAACATTCTTTTGATGACATTTTATGAATAACATAATAATAACAAAATAAGAATAAATATAATAAACATTTCATTTAAAAATCAATAAAAAATATTGTGGTACGAAATAGATAAAAAAAATTTTTTTCCAAATATTGCAACTTAAACTACATGAATATTTGGACATTTTAAATTAAAATCAAAATTAAATAATAAGACTAAAAATTAAATTTTAATTCAAAGTAAATTACACAAGGAGTATTATTGTGAGATGCATAATTCAGAGTAAAGCCATGTATAAACTATTTTTTTCTCTTCAAGTATACCATTGAATATATTTTTCTTATCGACCGTCTGCATTTGATTAAAATATATTGGACCAAGGTAATCGACGAAACACTTTCCAAAAGATTTTAAATGTGTATTTGACTGGGCTATCACTCTATAAGTTCTTTTATGAGTAAATTCAATTTTATTTTATTTATTTTTGTTGAGTATTCATTGATTGAGAACATTAAGTATAGTCATTAATACCTAATCAATAATACAATATATATATAAGTAATATAAATATAAATACGTAAGTACTGCAGATAATAAAGTTCTAGGTGAGCATCTACTAATAAATATATAGATAGGTACCTAATTTATTACATTAACCAACAAGGCAACAAAAATAATTATGAAATAAATTTAACTTTTAATCATAGTATGTTACCTTTATTACATCAAATTTTATAATATATATTTGAATCACAAACTTAAGTGTTAAGTGATATTTTGATAGTATTACGTTTAGTTGAAAGTCTTGAGCTGAGAAGCCGTCCACTGATGTCACTTCTATAGTTTTCAAAAGCGTAATAAAAAGCAAACAAAAAATTAAGGAAAAATTGATTTTGTATTACCCGTACTGTGGGGGTAATGACTTTAATGTGGCCATCATGGTAGGTAACTATTGTAGAAATAAAAAAAAACACTTAAAGACACTTGAAAAAACAATTTAGTCAATTAATCAGTTATTTTAAATACCAAAAATAAATATAGTGACTATTTTTTTAAACATAAATAACAGATAAATATTTAGTAAATAGGTAAGTAAAAATAAAAATGGATTAATACTGCAGTTTAAAATTATAACTGGGTATAGCAGTAATGGTACTATGAATGCCCCCGCCCCCCTTGAGAATTGTTAAATAATGAATAATAACAACATTTTCATTAATAAATAATTTTCGGATAAATTTTGTCAGAAATGTATTCTAATAATAACCCCCTGAAAAAATATTATAGATACACCACTGCGATATAGGTATATTCGTATGAATGCAATAGATCATGTTGCGATGAACACCATCGTCGTCATTGTTTAATAAGTCAATTAATCATAAATCATAAATGCATACATACATTTACATAATCGTGGCTCTAAAAATATTTATGTATTGTTGTCGATTTAGTATCTACTCATGTGTTTTATGCATTGAAAAATGGCCGGATTTGACGATCACTTGACCGACGCGATGGGTGCATTTTCCGTCAGCGATGATGAAATCGTTTTGGATGATAACATTCGGACACAGCTAACCAAAATCGAAAATAATTATGAGAGCATTTTCTCGTGGGACATCCAACGATTTACAGGAGTCAATAAAAATCTTCTGTTGAACCTCATTGATAAAGTTCGGGAACAGAAACAAATGACCATAGACATGGCCACTAAGGCCGACGAATTCAATCAAGTTAGGTAGGTATAGCCACTATCCAACATTCATAGAAATATTTTTGAACAAATTATTTCTTTGTGTCATCATTTTTTTTTAAACAATTCCCAAAGGTGTCGCCGCGTACTGTTGTCTTAACCAGAATTAATTTTACTATAATATATGTATCGGTGTTATTGATAAAATATATAAATGGATTTTTAATGTCTATAATAATTTTGTAAACAATTGTGGATGATTCATATTAAAATACCCATAAAAAGGGTATTATTTTATAAATATAATTGTATGCATTATTGCATTCGTGTCATTAAAGAAAACAATTTTATTTATAGATATTATTTACAATTGGTAGCTAGTTATGAACTATACAATAGAAAACGTTATAAGGAATCATATTTGGAAATTGAAAGCGTTGTTAAATTTCTGGAGACGTGTAAATTTGACGAGTCAAACAAACAGTACGCTGATGCTTACCATCATATTGCTCGGGCCTCCAATGCGTATATTGCATTAACATTGAAAATTGATTCAGAAAAGGTAAATTTTAATTATTGTTTATTTCAGTTTGTCCTATATCTATTGTCCTAACCTATGTCTATACTCTATTGAATAGTGAGTACCGCCTAAAATATGTAAATTCTCCATTTATAATTAAAAATAAATGGTTTCCACTTACCGACAATCATTTTAATTTAACTGTATAAATTAAGTACCAAAGTAATAAAGTTTACTGTTTTATTAATATCATATAATATCTATTATTTATTTATCATATATTTATGAGACAAGCCTTTTGTATAAAAACATTATAAAACACAACATAAGTACATATTACCTACTTAAAGATATACACATAATTATATAATAATAATGCATTTAAAAACTAACAAAAGATAAAATTAAATTACAAATATGAGTATTATTACAGTGCTAGGTATGTCAATTACGAAAATTAGTGACAAGTTGACTTCTATAAAGTTTTTATATTACCTATGACTTTGTGAGGTATATTTTGTAGTATGGAGCCGTTATGTGGGATCAAGTACTGCGTGTGGTATGAAACAAATATAACGAGAATACAACGGAAGTTTCTTATATTTTTTATATTAAAAATGTATCACCCATCCCATGACTATTTACCATAGTAATATAGTAGACTAGTAGAGACGTAGAGTGTAGGTATAATAATAATTATTTCTTTATTTCTTTATTACGGAATAAATTCCAATAACAATAATAACAAAATAAAAATAATAATAATCAATAAGTTATAAGTAGTTTAGAAAGTAATTATTTAAATAACAATAATAATGAAATACAAGAAAATGCTTATCGTGAGTACTTAAGGAAATAAATCAAAATGTATATTGCATTAACATTGAAAATTGATTCAGAAAAGGTAAATTTAAATTATTGTTTATTTCATTAAGTAGGTAGCTATATTGAGTAGTGAGCACCATTCATGATATAAATAAATTCTTCATTCAAAAATATAACTACTAATAATAATTTTGATTTACGTGTATACATTAAGTATCTATAAGTAATTATTAGGTTTACAATTTTATTATTATCATTCAAGTATATAATTGCAGGTACATACAATATAATATATAAAAGTAATTAATTAACACAACGTAAATAAAATTGTATTTTAAATCTTCATAAAACCATTATTTTGAAATTGTACATATATACTTATATCAGTTATATATATATTTTAGGGATCCATTTCAAACATTTGTTATAGATATGTACATTATAATAAATCAATCAATATATAAATACAGCCTATTAGTGTAGAGCGAAACCGTATTTGTATAAAAGCAAAAGTAATTAAAAATTATTAAACTTATGGTTTTTTTCTCTTAGTTACTGAAAGATGTTAAACATGTCAACAATTTTAATCAAGCTGAAAAATCTGCGATTTGTGCGATAAAAGCCAAAATTTTTATGGAGTATCCCGCAAAAGGAAATGCCATTGCTTTAAATTTTGCTGATCAAGCCCGCGCCCTTCATTCTACTGAACCTGAATGGATAATCGTTTGGCTAAAAGCCAAAGGAAGAGTAAGACGTTCTTACGAACCATATAAAATGCCAGACGATGATGAAATAAAAGCTGCAGAAATTTTATGCTCAATAAAAACGAATCATAGACATTTAATTAAAGCTTCTCAACTTTATAAGGAAGCAGGATATATTAATAGATTGAAAAACAACCATAAAGAATCGACTAAATTTTTTAAGCTTTCGTCTGATATTGCTAAGTAAGTAGTTTTGTTTTGTGTAAGTATCAACTAAAATTTATTTTTAGGTAATAAAAAAGTAAATTAAAGTTCCACTACGCCAGGATCATTGCTATAGTAATAATAATTATTATTAAAACCAATATCAACCATTTCTAACCAAAAATGTCCATCTTAAATCTCAAAATTCCTGTTTACTCACCTCCCTGGGTTGGATCTCTAATTTAACCATTTTAAATAAACCTATCTTCTTTCCAGAGGTATAATCTATCTCTGTACCAAATTTCATCGCAATCGGTCCAGGCGTTTAGGAATGCATAAAGGACAGACAACATTCATTTATATATATATATATAGATTAATTTGCTTTAGTCCTAAATTCAATTTTTATGTATCAAAATACTTAGATAAAAATTCTGCTTTGGAATAAAAAATTAAAACTATGTTGCCGTTCAAAAATGTAAAAACTTAAAAATTCTCGAGGATAAAAAATATCAAACAATATAGGTTAGGGTATGTACCTATATATTTTTAAATTTTTAGATTTTAACGACTAGAAACCGTGTATAAAATGAAATTCAAAAAAATGTATACTTTTTTGGAATAATGTGTATGCAATGATAAAAGAATCATCCAGTATAACAGTGTTGTTTATTTACAAGTTTATTTTTGACAGAATATCAATTGAACTGGCCAACGATGATGTAAATGAACTAAATTCGCTTCTACTAACTTGTATCGAAAGTCCTGATGAGTTTTTTTCAGCATCCATGATAGAAAACTTAGTTACAAGACTGTCGAAAGTAAAAAATAGTTGCGTGGATCAAGTTTTAGGCTTTTATTATTTAAAATACGAAAAGGTATGGTATTTATTAATTTATTGTTATTGGTACCTTTAAAAACTATTGTACAGTTTTGTTTTATTTCAGGACTATGTAAAAGCAAAAATGTATTTATCTCGTGGAATGGCTGCTGGCCAGTTTAGTAGTTCATTGCAGTTAATTAAAGTAGAGTGCCTGTTGCAACCAATTGAACAATTTCCTTTTGTGAAAACACTAAATATGATGTATGAGGTTTTTCAAAACCCAAATAGAAGGCTGATAATAATTTCACAAATATTGTTATATTAGGTACACAATAATAGAGAATAATCCTAAGCAAATATTGTGGTATCTAAAATTGTACCTCGATGAAGACATTGAAGATACATTTAAAAAACGTAATTTAATTGTAAGTAAATAGAAAATTAATTACTTTGTATGTATCAATTGTCCATGAGATGCTAACATTTTTAGGCAGTTTCTTACCTCCACGTTTTTAAAGTTTATTATAACGTATAGCAATTTATGAAACTTTAAATTTAAATTAAGTCTAGGTTCATTATAGATACCAGTAACCAGTTAGACACTTCATAATTTTAAACTTCTAAACTATAGTTTTAATATTCCTATAGAATGTGTGTGCATTTTCTACTATCTATACTTATAGTTATGGTGTATTAATTTTTCAATTATTTCAATTTGTTTTTATTATGCTGTTTTATAGTGATACCTATACCTAATTATTATATTTTATGATTTCAGTTTACTCGCCCACTGTTTAATACAGACAAATATTTCAGACCAAATCAATTTCTGATTGATCTATCTGCGAGTCTTAGAAAACTAATGAACAATAATGACAATGACTTGAGTAAAGAAGAAAAAAACACATATGATCAGTTCAATAAACTAATAAAATTGAATATTGGTGACAATAATTTTAATAAAACCACTGTTCATAAAAACAATGATTCTTGGCGAAAGAAACGAGTTGATTTGACAGAAAATAAGTGTAATGAAAGTCATCAACAGAAAAATGAGTCATGGAGAAGAAAGAGAGACCCAAGACAAGAATAATATGTCAATCATTTAGGTATCAAATGGTTGATATACAAAGATAATTTTTATAACTAATTAAAACAGGATTCTTCGTTAAAATATTAAAATTTACATAAAATGATTTATATTTTACAAGACTACATTTACCTATTTTATCTACTATGTTTTGTTTAAAATTATAAATACAAGGTCTCTACTGCATTTTTCATTGCCGTAATTAGTGGTTAGATAAGGGTTTTTAGTACATTATAGAATTAAATGAGTATGCAAGTACAATACAAAATTAAAAGTGAATAGATATTTACATTTTGATTTTATTCTGTTTATATGGTTCTGTATAAATACAATTGGTGTCTTTGATAAATTTCAGTAGGATTTTTATAAATTATCAATATAGGTAAAGGAATTGACTAATTGAGAACGGTGTATTTTTTTTAAGAGGTCTGCTCTTGTGTTTTTAATAAGCAATATTTAGGCAATATGCAATTTTGTTGCCACCACTCATGGCATTTGGGTCACTTGTCAATCATCAATGATGATAATATTATTAATTATTGTCAGTGATAGACGATAGTATGCGGGTAACGGCTACATATTATACGGACATGGCAACGGCATCACCGACCAAAAATGAAAAGCCTGATTTTTCGCTCAAAACACAATATACAGGAAAAACTCTTATGCATCGGAGAGTGGTGTGACTTGATCAATTTATTATTTTTCGCCAGAAAGAGGAAAATGTTCTACAAGGTGCATCATTGCCTCATTGGACTTATTATAAATCGTATTATATGATTTAGATATATAATTTTGAAAATCCAATCAGTGGATCAGTCTACTAGGCATGATCAATGGTGCCCATCAATCAGAACCTAGGGAGTGACAATTCCATAAAAAATAACCAAAAGCCAACAAAATCGCTTTTATTAAATAACAGAAAATAGATAAGCGATGTACAGAAACGTGTCCAGGACAAAATTTCAGAACAGTACCGATTATTAGAAAAGTGTACACAGTATAGACATTTTTTTAAAGTGAATTTTTAAACTGTGCAGTCAATCATACCTAATATCAAATGAGATCTAAAAATCGCGATATGTTCAACTCACCAAACTTATACTCATTCAAGTCGTAATGTCGTATTGTAGGTTTTTAATTCATAACTATATATCATAATTAAGCTCATGTATATTTTATAAAATTTTTACTATTATTATAAATTATAATTACTATTCTATTGTATGTTTGTATTTAAATATCATGTCTATCACTATGACGCTATAATGATTGCAATATTATTCTTATGATCTGTACCAAATAGGGCCTTGTAAGTTTAATACCAAATGATTAATAAATAAATCGACAAATATATTATAACTTTGTTTCTCAACTGCGCGCGTTTCAATTTAGATTGCTTATAATCAGGGTTAGGATTTTTATGCGTAATAAAATTAATAAATTTGTTTGTATTATGCACTAAAAATATCTAAATATATCCATGAAAAAATTCAAAAATATTCATTAAAATAAAAATAAAAGAACGCATGTAAAAAAAATATTTAATTAATTACATAATATTATAAGTTACTATAAATATTTTAATTAACAGGGTTGCATTGAACAAAATTACTCATTAGTTTGTTTTAAATGTTCGACTGGGAATCTGGCATCTGCAGCATGTACATTGTACAATGTACATTGTACATCACAGAATAGCAGTATAGAATTCCCGACAATAAATAAGCTGTAATTTGTATATAAAATATAGATGCACAAACTTAGATTTAATTTCAATTGATTACGTTTTTTATTTTTGATATTTTGTAAAATAATTTAAAAAAGAGGCTTACACATGCACTTATATGTTAAATTTTGTAAAATAGATATGCATGTATAATATATAGTATGCCAAAAAAATCTTAATATTTAAATTTAGACATCAAATTTCTATCTAAGAATACATGCAATAGAACAATCCTAGCCCCTCTTATACAGTCATACTAATAGGTACTTCATATTATACTCATCGCGGTCGCGAAGTTCGGGTGGCCATGTAGTGTATGCATGTACCCACTCAATAACATTAGGGTTCGCGTTTAATTTGGGTGACAGACTTGAAAAATCAGGAATTAAAATATATCTAAATAATAGTAATATAATTATTGTTTATGTACCTACTGATAGTAAATAATAATAAAGATCTAGTTGAGCATCTGTGCCTAAGCAGTGCTTAGTGAGTACAATGAGCAGCCAAGCAGGGCAATCTGGAATATATGTATTTTAATGTCTAATTATACAAAACCGTTTTCAACTATCGAACTACAATTGCCTACACTGTCTAACCGAAAATTTGCCTCTGGACATTATTCAATTTTAATAATATATTTTAAAAGGCATAAGCTTAATGCAAACAAACAATTATATTATGCTATAGCATTATATCTTTAATATTTATTCTTTATAATATCAATATATTATTATAATGTTAAAGTTTCAATCAAATAAAAAATAGTCGTATAAATGCATAATAAGTGCAATTAAATAATAGTTAATCAAATGCCACGAAAATAATTAAATTAAATTAAACATTTATTTTAAAAAAGATAATCGATAAGGAGCATTTTACATTTTAGATCGTTACTTGCTATTGAAGGCACATGACATCGTACACGGATACATGCAGTAAGTACAGAGCTTTTAGAGCATCTACAATTAATATAAATTGTTCACTTAATGATTATTCTTGTGTATTAATAAGCAGTGTCGGCCTGGCACACCAAAGGTCCATTGTTAGTGGTTCAGTTTTTTTTTAAAAGGCCTTATAATGAAATACTAAAGCTCCAAAAAAATATGTACTTACATGACATTTTGTTGAAACGACACATTTTATCTTTCTACTAATTTACATAGGCACAAATCGAGGGGAGGGGATTGGGCTTGAGGGGTGCTAAGCCCCCCCCCCCAAAAACCTAGGACATACAATTTTAATATGCTATACCTATTGCAATGGTCTGCTTGACTTTAATATATTCAGCTCCCCCAGGCCAAAAGTTGAAATTGCGCCTATGCTCATTTATCTAATGCATGTTAAAACTATTAATTTTAAACAACTTGAGTATACGATTTGTATTATATGTAGTTTACACTGTACAGCAAATTCATTGGACATTCTGTAATACACTACCATCCATCTTATCCATCTTTTAAGAGCACGCCATACCCACTTTTGTTGTTTTCATGTTACACGTGTACAACAAAACCTGGCCAATTGTCTGTTGCAAAGCTATAAGAAACAGTCACCCTATTATCAAACTTAAATTTAAATACATTATAGGTGGAGGAATATCAGATGTTCTTGTTTGATAATAATATATCAATTCATTCCTAACTTAACCTAATATTAAAATAGTGTTTTAAATTATATTTGTACAATTATATTTGATACAATATAAGCAGATGTGACGTATGTATATCACTTATTTTCAGATTATTATAACTGTTTTAAATACTTGCCAATTAGTAGTGCCTTATGAATATATACTACTTATATTATACACACAGTGGATAGTGTACAAGATAAATGAACAAATTCCTGAAATTAGGGCCGTGCTTAAGTACATTAAGAGATATGTATTTTAAAGTTGTAGAGTGCTTGAACAATGTCAATAAATCAATATATGGTTTGCCAGCCATAATATATATTGCAGCAAACTTTTAACGACAGATATAAATATATTACAATACCTATTACCTATATTTGATTCATCTAAAATTTAAATTTTCATTATTTTTATTTAGCTCAAGTTTTTTTTACTACGAAGATTGCACGAACCCTTCCATTTTCAGTTGTATGGAATATTTTATATAAGACAACTACTTATTCTATCAAACAGTGCAATGTTTATTTACTAATTCAAATTCTGTTCAAATTGAATAAATAATGAGAGAAAATTAATCACACTCCATAAATCCTAAGACGGTATCTAAATTACCATTTTTTTTTTTTTTACTTAATTTATAAATATATTTAACTATGGGTGTGAGATCAGTATTAAATAGTTTTAACAAAGGTTTTGTGATTTGAGTATTGCTAGTATAATATTCAACCAAGGTAACTTGAAGACGACTGTGATATGTTATGTCTTGCCATGTATAATCATTTTTACTGGTTTGTATAACTTTTATATGGCCAACCATTTTTTTTAGATTCTGAGTGAAACGATGAATGTATTGATTTTAATAATTAATTTTATTTTTATGTCTTGTCATCACTAGGCTTAGGGACTTGTAGCTCTAAAAAATACCAAAATATGCACGAAAAAGTGGCCAAATATGCCCTAAAATATGCACCTAAAATTAACCGAATATGTGCTATGATATGGCCCCCATAAAAATTAGGTATAACAAATATGTGGTAAAATTAAATATTTATTTTATTAGAATTTATATTATATAATATTAGAATATTATTACTTGAATTAAAACATATATAAAAAATTTAATTTTTTAAAGGTAATTCGTTTAAATTTTATTGTTCTTCCGTGTCTTGCGATCCTAAAGTAAAAATAAAATAATGTTTAAATATTTGAATGTTTTAATTCTTATTATTTTATTAATTTCTTTACCTTTAAAATTACACTACACAATAAGATATATTTTCCTGATGTTTTCAAACGTGAATCTACGACGATTACTTGACAGTAAATTTTTATACGCTGAAAAACTTCTTTCGACATCTACAGACGACATTGGAGCATACATAAAATAAACCATGTCAACCATATCAATTATCATCAACTTCGCAGCTCAAAATTTTTGAAATTTTTAATACAGCTTTGTAACCAGGATTTTTTTCTAAAACGTCATTTTAACTTCTTTACAACTACTTTACCTTTTGTACATTTCAAGTCAACAATTTTATTTTTCGCATCTTTGACCGTTTTTAATGAATCGGATAATTTTATTTCTTTCTTTTCCAAAAATGTTATGAACATAGGCGTGCGCAGAGTTTAAGTTCG